AATAAAAATTACTTAATGCACTACTACCGTTAGAATAAAAAAGTAGGGTTAACTGTCATCAATAGTCAATAGCATAAAAACAAATAATACCTGGTTAAGTACTTTATTTCTTGATTTCATGTTTATTCTTTACTTATAATTATAAATGTAAATAAAATGTAAAAATAAGGATCTCTTTAGGTTATTTAAGGTTAGATTAGGTAAAATGAATAATCATAATAAAATATGAATACTTCATGAGGCATGCACACAAGGAGCTCAAAGCAGCTCATGGGTCAGGTAATTGTTAACATAAAATGAGCTGCACCTTCTCCAAGTGATTTACAACTTATAATGATGTAAATAGTAGTAAGACATGGCTAAGGCAATCAAAACGGCAATAAAACAATAAAATTTAATTATAAATAGATGTATACTCTTACAATATTCAAGCTACTTAGGATAAACAAATGTAGTTTCGTGTTACAATTTTAAGTCATTCTGGAAAGAAACAAGGGTAATTTAGATTTATTTTTTGGTGGTTACGAGGTTGGTCAAATTGACCAACTGTATATAGAGGTAGGGTAGAAAAATAACAGATAAAATACAGTTTCACTGAAAACAAACATTTGAAATGTATTTAGGAGGTTTTAGACATTACACAAATGACATTTGAGATATTTGAGTATTTTTAATCTGCACATGAAAATCACTTTGCACACAGACTATTGAAAAGAAATACTTGATATATTCAAGGAAAAATCATTCACCAGAAATATGATTTTTTGTAAGTGAAAGACTTGCAATGTTTACTGAAAGTCTGCCAAATTTCATGAAGATATACATATGATATTAAAGGTTAGTAATATCAAATCTATAAAGACTCTGAACAAGTACTAAGAGGTCACAGGGTCAGTCAAATTGACCAAGTCCATATTGAGAGTTAATTAGGAACTGCCATGTTGAGGATTCATCAATTCGCTATTCTTCATTGTTTCTGGAGTTCGCTGTTGTACTTTGTCTCTACATGGTTTTCTACGGCTATTTCAGAGAGTTTTCTAAGAGTAGACAATTACCATAGTAGATTTCTCTACTTTTGGGAGTGGTGATTTATTCTACTGATTTTCCTACTTTGCTGAAATTGTCAGTGCATATTTTAGTATTATTACTAGCTGGAGAACCCATCCTCTGGACAGAAGTTATGTAATTTCATGATTAATGGAAGGTTATCTTAGGACATCAAAAGTTGCTTTCCTTATACGTAACTGTAAAAAATGCAAAAATGCCCATAAAAACTGCAAAACATAAAATCTGAAACCACAAATTTGCATATATCTCTGCATGGACCCAACAAACCTTCATGCCAAATTAGCTGAAGATCCATCTACAGGGGGCGGAGGGGTAGTACAAAATGCAAAAAAAAACAAAAAAAACACAAAGCACAAAATGCAAAACTGAAAATCTGTATATGTCTCTTTATCGACCCAATGAACCTCCATACCAAATTTGGTGAAGGCCCATCCACAGGAGGTGAAGTAGTGGTAACAAATGCCCATAAAAACCTCAAAATGCAAAACTGAAAATTGGTATGCATCTCCTCATGGACCCAACAAACCTCCATACCAATTTTGGTGAAGATCTATTCACACCCTGCAAAGTAGTTACATGGACAAACAACAGACAGTACTATTATATTTATATAGATTAATATTTTTGTTTCACAAGCCTACAGCAAAATCGTCTGGGTATTTTACACCAAAACCAAAACAGAATATACTATATGAAATGCTGCAAATGTCCATGACCTATTTAAAAAGTTGATTTATGTGGCTATAAGTGCATAATATGTGTGACGTTGTTGTAAGTGGCTTCTTTTGTACTCAATGCTTGTTAAATGCATGTTTACAAGAAACCTCAGGAACAAAACCACCAAGCTAAGTAAATAATGACTGGGTGTAAAAAAAAAAGCCAGTGCAGCAATAAACTGTTGAAAAACATGCAACATTCAACTGAATGCATATGCACCAATGTAGCTTAAAATTTATTCACCATACTTAAGAAACAAGATAAATAAAAATTGTTAAAAAAAACAAAAACCAACAACTAGGCTGGAAAGAGTGTCTACATTATTATCTCTAACACAAATTCTTATTTTGACTGAACTAAAATTCATAAGTTCTTTTGACACGGAGTCAAAATAGAGATTTGTAGCTTGAGAAAATAACTTAGACACTATTTCCAGCCTTATTTGTTTACTTTTTTCGAGTCCCTGGTTGTAGGCTTGAAAATATAATCCATGCATTTTGATTCAACTTGTTTCTGTACTTTTGACAATCCCTATTCCCCTTTTTAAATAAACAATTTTTAAGTATCTTGTTTTTGAGTAGTGTAAAAGTGATTAATAAGTGTATTCAGCTCAAGGAGTTTATATATATTTATCAAATTACAATATTGTAAACATATGAAAAAATCACATGCGGCTGCCCCTAACAGATTATGTTAATCAAAACAAAAACATTTTGATTCATCAACTAGTTCTTGGCATATAATTTTATACATCTAATTAAATAATAAGTAAGCTACGATTATTATAAAAATTTATAAAAACTATAGAAGAATGTCAACAAAAAAAACATGAAAACTATAAAACAAACAAAATTTCTTTGAAAGCCCAACTATTTAATCAAGCTGTACATCTAGAATTTGATATTGTAAAACCAGTATGTCAAACTGTAAACTTAGTATGTTACACACTAGTGTTGTAGATATATATCATAAAATAAAGAAAAACAAATATGAATACTTTGTAAACCAACACTAAATTTGTTTTGTCTATAGCTATTTACAATTATTCTGAGAGAATATCACAAGTGCTTTTAGTTTCAAACTATTGTTACGACAGCGGAAGTCACGTAAAACTGGTAACACGTTACAAGTTTCTAGAAGGATCATGAAGGCTCGAGTGTTTGCCAGACACCCTCTATTTTAATATATAAGCCCGGCAAATAAAGAGAGAGATAGGGAAATTAACAAACGAACAGAGACGTAACACTATTCATACTCAGAAACTGATACAGATTAATAAGATCAGAAACTATGAAAATTAT